TCTATAGCTACACGTGCATGTATGCTCATGCCTGACCAAACGGGCAAGCCCTCAACGTTGCGTCGAGGGAATACTTTATCGTGCATGAATAATGTATCCTACGAGCCGATAGCGTGTCCTGGCGTTTAGGCAGCCACGAATAAACGATATTGAGCCAAGCGGGAGCTTTCCATAGTCTCTCCGCACTCTCGTTGTTGCTCTGCAGCCTTCAACCGATTTTACGGCTCAACTCGTGACCCGCGGGATCAAACCAACCACTACGTTGTTACTCCTCCATTATTCTGATGTGTGTCTTTCAGTTAACGCTTTATTTTCCATACCTGCTATCTTGCTAATCTTACTCCTTTTTCATTTACTTTCCATAAATTTTCTCCCTCAGAGGATAAATCATCAAAACCTTTGTCCTGAGATGCAATCTATTCATTCTCTTCGGTGCTATACGCTTGTTTATTATTATTTTTTTATTCACCTTTTTAGTATTTTTCAATATTTTTTTTCAGCAAAAAAATTTTTCAGTTGATAAATTATTTGTTTTACTTTTAGAGATTAAAAGAAAGCTTCGAGTAATCTCTGGTAAAAAAAATACTTTTATGTTAAAATATTGAATAACTTATCGCTTTTATAAATAACGTAAAGTTCATATAATACTATTAAATGAATATTAATGATGTAAAATATGTACAAATTGTTTAATATTTAATTCTGATTTGTTTTTTTACCAAATAGAAATGAAGTTACGAGCAATTTAAAATTTACACGTAATTCTACATATGAAGAGAATGAAATGATTATATTAATTAAATAAATCATTTAGTTAAATTATTGTGTAAATCAGGTCAACTGTAAAATTTAAATATTATTTATTCACTACATTGAATAAAATTTAATAAAATTTTTGAATAATAATATGACGATACAATAAAATAAATAATATTTTAAAAAATATTGATTTTAGATTGAAGACTATTCTGAATTCTCTGTGTAATATTTTATTCTTATTTCCTTTTTCTTCTGTTTTTCAAGTTTTCCATAAACCGGTAAATCCTATTGGAGGAATAAATAAAAATAAAGAGAAAAAAATCGGTGATGGAAAGAAATATCTTTTGTATACGGTGATTTCATGATAAAAGATTGTGAAAAAGTTAATCGATATTTAAGAGCTGAGAAAGAAAGAAATACTTTCCTTCTATTATCCAAAGGTATCCGATTAATTCGGCTTCTCCAGTCTAGTAATTACTAATTATCGATTGACAGAGATAGTCTAGAAATATTCGCCCTCGTGCTGGCCTGTAACACCTCGGCTAGTCTGGTATATAGTTGGTGAACTTTGTATTCTCTAATTAGATTTTCTCTTTCTCTTGGTGTAACTCCCTTGAAAGTCACCAACGAACTACTGGTACTCATTCATTGAGGCGGACTTGACACACTGGTCGCCTATTTAATCTTCACGCTCGTTGAATTCGCGTATGTCCTTGTCTCTGAGTAAAATAAAAGTCAGGAATTAATTTTGTCAATGTTGGTTCCTTTTTATTTTCACTCTCTTATACTTTTTGCCATTCTTCTTCGCACTTCCTCGGGATCCTTTTTCTGTTTTATTGCTCCATAAAACATGAGGAGATTCGTTAATTCTTACATTACTGCTTGAATTATTGTATAAAGTAATGAAAGGATTTTTTTATTTCTGACGAGTTATAAATAACCCACGTTGTCGGAATAAACATTATATCCTTTGCATGACTCTTTTTTTCACAGCCACGGTTTTTGTATGTTTTACTAATACTCTATTGGATTAAAAGACTCGTGTATTTGTACTCTGTTACAGAACAACATTTTGCCTCTTTTTTTAATCGCAGGTATTTTTAATATTCTATACGATTGTCGTGAACTGTACCGGTAAATAATTTTTTTACAATCAGTTTTATTTTCTAGTCTGAAGGCTAAAAAATATTTATCGTGTTCTAAGGATTTGCAATTTATTTTTATCAACAGTTCAATATATTATCGAAACAACCTATTACTTTGCAATCGTTGTAGAATCAAAAATAATGATGAATTTTTTACATAAAATAAAAACAAAAATGTCCTTTATTTTAAAAGTTTAATCAATGTTTTAAAAGGTTTGTATTTTTTTTCTTTTTTAATCCGAAAATTTTGCTTCAACTTCCTGACAAGCATAAAGCAATTTCCTCTTACATGATCAAACTACTACATTTACACGATGCAGGTGCATGCCAAGTGTTCTAAGACACTTAGACAAGCCCTTTAAACTCATACATCAGAATACTAATATGATATAAACGTTCTAAAAATTCCTTGAAACATTATTTAGTTGCAAGAAACTGATATTCTTGGAGATGATTCAAGATGATATTCTCTTCTGTGAAAATAAATTTCTTCATTCAAACCCTTTCACTTCAATCTTCTAAGATCTATTGTTTGCTAACTAAATAGAAATTAAAAAACAATAAAATTGAATAAAAATGATTGTCAGCCAATAATCTCCAATCGACTGTATTATCACAATAAATTTTGTTATATCATCAACTGTATTGTAGATGTGATAAAATCTCGATTAAATTTCTGATGTTTAACCTTTTGTAGAGAATCTCACAAAGGTTGAAAGAATCACTGACAACATAGATATCGCGTAATAGTCAGATGAATACGTATAGGTATTATGTAGAGGTGATAAAGTCAACGACACTGCTAGACATACGACCATGATAATGCATTTAAATTCTCTTCACATACTTTCTATACTACTAATTTATCGACTTTGTCTGTAAAATACCTAATGGCTAAGAAACTGTATTTTTATCCTTATTTTAATATCAAAATAAATCAAAAGTGTTTTTGATACACTGAAAAATGTTTAGAGTAAAAATTACTCTTATATTAAGAGTTGACTAAAGATAATAAAATTGAAGTAGTAAAAAAATCCTTCATTTATAATACAAATAATTTAAATTTAAAATAAAAATTGAATCAAATTAAGATGTTTGCCTTAAATTTAATAATGTTTACCACAAATTAGATTTTTTCCCCTTTATTTAATTAGCTTTCGGTTTACCCTAACTACAAGAATAATTTTTACCCAACAACTTTGTTAGTATCATGCATAAATGTTCCAGCCAATTATTCATCATAAGACTCATGTGGATGTGATCCGATTAGAGCAATAGCCTGAATACTCATGAAATAGTTTTAATATTTGAAACCGTAGATAAATTGGGTTTTTTATTTCTGGGTATAAATGTTTTGATCCAATTTACAGTAGCACAGATGAATGGATCCATTTAACAAACAAAAAGATTCCGAAGATTAAAGAAAGAATATAAAACACCAACAGTTGGGATTTAATGAAATTATGTATTTTAAAATAATAATGAAGGTAAATGGTAAGAAAACCAAAGCTAATTAGAATGTTGTGGAAAATCCATTGAAAATTTACGGTTGAAATTACTCTCGTGGAATACCCTAACGAGTGTCTGAGCAGATGCTACGATGAACTCGGCATTCTCTCATGTGTGCTGAGTCTTGTTGAGAAATAAATATATATATATATATACGTATCTAACGTACGGTCGAGATTCGCGTGAACAAGTCTGAAACTACATTATTCTCAATTTCTCGAATTCTCTAGAGTATGCCGCGCACTTCACAGTTGAGAATACTGAGACATCTCTCAAAAATATTCCAAGTACTATTTTGTTTGGATCGTATTTTTTTTTAATTGTATTTCTCTATTATTTTATTCATAATAAAATCATGAAAAATAGTCTGCAATAAATAATGGCCGAAATTGGTCCATTGTTGTATTTGGGTAAGAGCCCATATGGTATGTTGAATTCGATAAATGTTTTGTGCAAGATAAAAAAATATGATGTTTCGCCATTTGAAGATATAAAAAAATACAAAAAGAGAAAAAAAATTTAATTTAGGAATATTTTTTGCCAATATACGTGATGTTGAAAGGGGCGCGCTTCAAGCCCGTGAACACACACGCGTGTCTCGAATGAAAGTCTTTGAGTCTTTGGTAAGTCTTACGGGTTTTAGATGTGAAAACTTTTCATTCGCGTCGCAAGACTGCTCGTCCGTGACTGGACAGAAACTTAGGTAGACATATAGAGACCGATGCCACAAGAACTGTTGCGATAAGGGCGACAAGGACAAGGATGTAGGGCTGGTGAATTTTATTCGATTCTCGCCTCTCGAACTCCCTGAACGAACGATCGAACTAGCGTGACTAGCTTTTCTAAACGACGCCAAACTTGCTCGTCCTTTTTATATTTATTTCATGCTTTTTTTATGCTTTTTTTATTTTTACGTAATTCCAAGCAAATAGTAAATTTATATCTTCTGAAGAATTTTATCGGTATTCCTGCGAGTAATGAAATTTCATTGTACTTACATGGAATAATTGCCATTTGTTTATAACATTCACACACCAAGTATTACATTATTTTTTGTTTGTAGTTAAATACAATGAATCAATTGTTTCTATCAATATTTGAAATAATTCTCGTTTCAAGGAGTTTTCTCTACTTCATTTGTCATGTATGTCTAAAAAAAATAACTAGTAACTTACGACCACGTTTATTTTGCAAGAGTAAAAGAATATTTTTATAGAACAGATTTCCCGGAAAAGCTTTTTATTCTTTTAATGTATAAAAAAAAATGGTAATTAATGAACCCATCGTAAATTCAAAAAAAAAAAAATTTTCTGTATTTGTCGGAAGAACAAAAAGTACCCTACTATGCTAAAAAATTTTTCTATAGAAATGATTTTTTTTAAAATTCCATGATACTAAAAAATTTTTTGTTGTATTTACGATTGTTTTTTTTTATTTGTTTTCGAAACAATCTAAATTTTCCTGAGTATTTATTCTACGAAATAGTCAAGTATTTTTTTTATTCAGATTAAAAAAGATGAAAACATCACTTCAAACGCTGAAAGATATATAAATAACACGCAAAATAATAATTAATCATCAACTTACCCAATATCCAGTATGTAGATAACGTGGATCTCCAAATTATTTTATTAAATCAACATCAAAAGGATTGGAAGTTTATGACCTTCAATAATCCGCTTTCATAGCAACGAGGACGTGATGGTTTTACTAGATGTCAGGGATTCGCTTGAATGCTCTTCTTGGGCAGCATTGAGGCTAACTCCAGTTGAAGGCTTAGTGGTATATCGAGTTTAAAAGCGTGAACGTCGTCACGAAGAAGACGTTTTATCACTCTTAGGGAAATATCGCGTAACGAATAGATGGGCAATGTGATAAAAACTTGGACTCTCTCAATCCTTTGAGGCCGTTGATTCTCTGGCATACCTACGTAACGAGCAAACCAGGGTTGTGGCAAGAAAACATTTTTGCCCTCGACCATAAATCTAAAACATATCAGACCTTACACTATTTTTACGACAATAGTAAATGATAAGATACATGTTCATGTATCTTTTATTTATGTTACATTTTTAAACAAATTGATTGTTGGAACCATTTTTCAAACTCATTTCAATAAAGTTCATTTTATATTGATGAATAAATTCTACAAAATATCATCAAGATTAATATTTTATTACTTCAGATATATCAGTAGACATACTATGTACAATTGCTACTAGTTTTATGATCATTTATTTTATCTTTCATGTTTATATCTAGGCTCTGACCTCTTTCGTGTTGCTCTGAATCGATCTAACAGTCAGTGAAATTCATGAAATAAAATCTAAATTGCTGACAAGTCGCTGAAAAAAATGCCGTGTCTAAGTTTTCAGCTTTTAGCACAGAAATTTTTTACGCCATTTAGATTTTTATTATAAAAATTATTCTCACTCTATTTATTTTATTATTCAGCACTTTTACAAATTTTCCACCGTAAAGTAAAACTTGAAAATCGTTTGAGGTCTCGTCAAATAGCAAATTTGGGGTCAAATCTTTAAGAAGATTTATTATCAAAGGTATCATTAAAAGGAGATCAATAAAATGTAGAAAAATTTAATTACACATTGCAACTTTTATAATTGATTACTCTCCAATTCTGCGACCTTTCATTTTTAGAAGTTATTACTTATTCAATAAAGCTTTCAATTGACTTTAAAAGGAGTTTAAAAAATGGTACCTCAAGTATTTACCTGTCTTTCGTTTCTTCTTCGACAAAAATCCATGGGTGAGTGACAAAAGTATTGATATTTAATGAAGCTGATCGTGGTAGAATACCATATGATACAGTTTGACCTTCGTAGTTAACCCAATAAACTTCGACGTTGTAACTTGTTGTATTTATAAATTGCACATACGATCTTACACGGTTATGAATAGATTTCAGTTGTGATTCTTCAGATGAGTCCATTTAAATAATTTCTCATCAATTAGGAAGAATGGAACACTACATCAGTGCTATTTATTCCAATCATAAAAGATGCATTACTTTGTACAGAATGATTGATCTGAAAAAGAAAAAATACAATAATTAATTGGTAAAGTGGAATGGATTTAAAAAAAAACTGATAAATATATGAAATTTTTTTTTGGTTTATTTTAGAGTTGTCAATGCATTAATTGGTTTTTGTTTTACAATAGAATAAAAAATTGCATTAAAAATAAACGATATCACTAAATATATGACATACTTTTGTCACTTTATGATTTATCGAATAAACTTTTGTTTCAAATAAAATCAATAAATAATTATTTATAAATGGTTTTATTTTTATTGTTAAGTTATTTTAATTAATTTTTTTTGCAAAAAGCTCAATTTCCCATGTGAGATTTTATTATGACAATATACTATAAAATAAATGAAATTACCTCAACCAACTTTAAAGGGAAAAGTGATCCCTGATGAGAGTGGGAATGCATTTGAAATAAAAAAAGTATCAATAAATCATGAATCGACTTGAAAACTTTAATTACAAAATAAACTTCAATCATTTAACTTGTAGAATCGAATGGAATTTTTTCTCGAGTTTTTATTTTTCAATCGAAATCAATCTTATCGATATCAACTTGGTTTCAAAACAAAAAAAGTGAATAAAGAATATAGAAAGTATTCGATTCATACCGAAGCACAACTTGATCGTTTTATCTCTAACAATGTTTTGTATTATTTCATCACAAAATGCGTACCCTTCCGGGTGCAACAGAGTAAATATCGGGCATTCAGAGTGGTACCAATATTGAGAGCCTGAGCTTTCATCGGCTTATATAAAGAAGAACAGTTGGAAAAACGGTGAAACTCCATTACTGCTTTTTTTGTCCTACCATTTTGAGAGAACGCCCACAGGGACTTTTGTAAAGCATAAATCTCTTTTCCCACATTTATTTATTCCTTCTATTTTCTGTTTCTCATTTCCTGCTTTTCCATATCATAAAGACATCCCACTGGAGTATAAGCGACAGTATCTTCATGAGTAAGCAGTATGGTATTATTACATAAATCATTTTTTCATTTTTTTAGTATATCCAACAAACATTTGTTTACAACAGTATTCGTTCATATTATTTTTTTATTATTATTATTGTATTCCAGTATCTCTAACTATGCTTTACATTATTTCATTTTTATTTATGTAATTAACTTTATTGCGAATGATGAAGCTCGTCAAAATTACCATTGTTCCATAATAAGTTTGAACCGACATGAATGCATTGTTTTTATTAGCATTCTGAAACACAATATATTCTATTCAATGGATTTTTAATGAATTTCCGGAGTAAATTAAATAATAGTCGAATAATTTTCTAGAGAGCAATATAAAAAAATAAAAATTCTTGTTATTCTAAATTGTTTTATTACCCTTTTTTTAAATAAAAGTAATCCTCAATAATTATTTTAATAATGAATTATTTGTATATTTTTTTCAATACATCAACAACACATCTAATAATACTTTTTATCTACAGAACGTTTTCTTTAATTATTTAGTAATAAATTATTTACTAAAAAATTTTAATAAATAATTGGATTATAAATTTCGTGAATAAATAAATGAATTTAGTGCATAAAGAACAGATGCAATTTCAAAAAATAAAAGTTATTTTAAAATTTTTTCCTAGTTCTTAACCCCTTGCATAATTCAGCGAAAATAATCCTCGCCTTCAGTAATCATGTGGCATAACAGTAATATTTCACGACAGAAAAAAAAAGAAAAACAACCTCATTCTTCTAACGCAAAAGCTGACAGATAGACAGGAAAAAGGTTCACTTCAAAGTTTCGCCGAGAATGAATTCAAAAAAGTTCACACCAAGCAAAATAAAAGATCATTATAAAAAAACTTGATAAAAATAGCAAATACACTTTTAATGAGGGAATTTCGACCAATTCTAATCAACATCAAGCCAAGTATTTTATTTACCAAGGTAGACGTTTTTTGTTTTTTCTCATTAAGGCAGTTCTTATTGGACTTTTTGCATCAGTCTAATGAAAGCATCGGTCCAATAATCGTACCTTTATTTCTCCACTTGAGTCACACTCAATTTTATTTTTATTTTTATATTCCAGTCGTTAAATAAAAATGGCATATGACTGAATAAAGTTAAGTATTTTAAAGTGAGGATAACGCGACGATTACAGAAACTTTCGTGCGTATATCAACGCTCATACATTGAACTCTAAAAGCCTTTAGCATTGCACAAGGATCTAGTATCAACGTAGAGTGTTGGTGGTGACGGGGCGCGATAATCGTGCAACTGTGGTTTTGCTGTATTATCCAGGAAAAAGTTTAGCTTGTTGTATTTCTCGCGCTAGGGGCTTTCATTACTGAAATTACACTCGAATATACGGTTGTGAAGAGCTCCGTTGGTTGGCAGAAAAGCCCGGTGGGCTACGCGAACCATGAAGAGAGAACGGATGAGATAGAAAGGGATAGTGGGAAAGCTAGAGAGGCAAAATGGCAAACAGCTAATAGCAAAGCGGATAAGGGATTTCATCATTGCGGTGGCACAACAAACAAAAGCTATTCGAATATATTTACCTGAAAGCTATCCATCTCACTATTATGCATTAATTCTTAATTATTATAAATTGAAGAACATAAATGGTATGTTTCTTTTTGCAATAGTGACTTTTAAATCATTTTTATCATGATAGAAATTGCTTGTAGTTTAGATAATGAGGTTCCTCAGAGTATTAATGCTGTCTTTATAACTCAATTTGTGTGCAACAAAAAAATATGATATGCATTTTTAACTCTTTTAAAATGGCTGCTGCTACATAGGCAGTGAAGATTGATATTTTTGTATGCAGAAAGAGGAAATTAATTGATAAAAAAGACAATTTTTATATAATTGTGTTTTTTTTAGTACAGCTTTCTTTGAGTTAATCATTATCTCATTTAGAAAGTGATGAAAAATTATGTGTAGATAATTTTTTTTTCAAGGTGCTGTACTTGAAAATGAACAAATTACACGGATAGTAATTTAAATCTGGCCATATTCTGAAGTCTTGAATATGGCCCATTTTATTCTTGAGAAACTTTGTCTGATATGGCACTTGAAGAGGAAATGAAACCAGAGACATTTAATAATTATTTATTTAATGGGTAGTTCTATGGTAGTAATAAGGTAGCTGGAGGGTAGTAGTAGGAGAGTAACATTATAGTATACACTGAAAAAACGATACTCCTGCATCAAGAATAATCTCATTTTTGATCGTTATATTTTTAAATAAAACAATAATACTAGGATAACATAACATGATGCAGAATAGTGACAGAAATGATCTTAGCATTTCCTCCAGTTGTACTCGTACTTATCCACTTCTTTAATATTTCATTAATTTTATGTTACTTATAATTCCTCATTACTCGTTTAATCTTGACGAATATAAATCTCCCCTAACGAAGATTTATTCCAAAAATCCCTACTACTGTAATAAGGAGGCTGTAATAAGGATTTTATTGGAAACCAACTACTCTAATTTGAAGGGTATTATTATTACCTTGGGATTTTGTTTCTCTTATTAAATGTATTATCAAAAGTAATAATTTATTTTAACGAAAATAATTAACTTCATCTTCATAACAATGCAGGAAGTATAATTTTCACAAAAAAACTCTGTTCAGCAGAATATTTTGTTAAAATTTTGCTCTTAATTTTTTGAAGTAAAAAACTTTTTCAATT